TCTCTCTCTCTCTCTCTCTCTCTCTCTCTCTGGCGCCAACAGAAATAACAGCTTTATTTTTTTTTCTTTTTGCTTTTTCTATTTTTTTCCTAGTTTTTGTTCCCGTTTTTTTCTCGCGCTAGGCCTGGGAAGTGAAGAACCAGTAGTTCCGAGCCTCGGCAAGGCTCAACATACCGGTCGGCCGAGGCTCGGACTCAATAGCAGGGCGAGGTACTGGTGGTTTAAAAAAAAAAAAAAAAAAGGCATATGGATAGGCGCTGAGGGATTTTTTCAGACCCCACAGGCCGTAGGGGGAGGGGCTTGGAAAACTTTGGGAGGACGTTTCCACATAGCGTCAACATGGGAAATTCCTCCGTGGCACTCCAATTTCCAAAATATTGCGCCAAAAGAACATGGTAGGCCCCAGGCTCCCCTCTTGATTCAGCCATCCCGTGCGGAAAGGAGGCATAGGGATTGGACGTTCTGAAAAAGAGGAGGCACACTTGCCTGAAAGGGCAAGTCTTCCTGATCTGGTAACCTAAACCCGCTGACATGCGGAAATATGTTGTGGCAGTGAACTCCCTTTTCTCTTGCCCATTCCTGACGGCCATGATTTGTGCTGGCGGATGTTTTCTAGGCGCAAAGCTACTGCGGGCCTGTGGGATCCAACCCGAACTATGGCGAATGGCGCATAGCCGATGATACCAGCAACTAGAATTTCATCCTTAACCGTGCCTCCCTGCCACGTGTTGTTGTGTTACTCACGAATTGGTTGCAAGTGTAGGCCTTGTGTGCGAAGTAGATACATCTCCCTGGTACCAGGAGCAGGTGAACGGAGTCACGAAGATGGAGGCGGAACCCGCACATGGTTAACGGGGACCCCCAGTTTCAGCTCCTGACTAACAGGTCCAAAATTGAAATTTGGGTTTGGGGGTCAAATTTTATGCGTTTTTTTTTTTTTTGCCTGTTTTTGTTTTGGTTCAAGGTTGTTGTGTACCAAATTTGGTCTCATTTGGAGCATTGGAATTTCCTCTGCTAAGATTTCTGAAACTAAATGTTGGGAAAATTTGCATGAAAGTGCACTTTTGCCTTGCTGTTTTATAGGTTTTTTTTTTTTTTTTTTTTGCAGTTAGTAACTATGGTCTCTACTCTATGACTTGGTGGCAAGTTTGACTATTGGATTTTGTTATAAATGGCCTGACAAGTTGTCTGAAAATTAGGGCCTCCGTTAACCACCTCTCGTGGAACAAGGTCCAGCTACAGAAGGAGACAGGGATGCAAGCGCCCAAGTTCAAAGTGACTATCGGCCAGAGGAAGAACGTGTCAGAAAGATGATCAGAGTTTGCTACGAGGAGGGGATGCTGCCCACCAACAGCGGTCTAGAGAGAATGGAAGTAAATGGGAGAGACTTTTTTTTTTTTTTTTTTTTTTTAAGCAATCAATGGAAGTCAATGGGAGAGAAATGAAGTTCTTTCCTTTTTTTTTTCTTTTTTTAAGTCCTGGGTGTTGTAGAGGTCGGTTTTTTAACCCATGACAGTTACCTATCTACAAACCTTCGTATCTTGGAGGATCCGCCTCTGACAGCCTCTACCGCAGGTTTCCCAACGGTTTCCTCCACCAGAGTCTGTCCACTAACACCCCTCTTACCAGGTCCCTTAAGGCAATCCCCTACTGTAGGTTCCCTACCGATATCCTCCAGCAGAGCTTGTCCCAAGCTAACGCTCCCCCAAACGGACCCCATCCGCCCTAAGGTCCTTACCCCCCCATAGCAGAGCCTAAGGTAACCAACACACATGAGCAGTCTAACCACAAACTCGTACCTACATCCCCATTAGACCGCTAAATGTATCAGGCAACCCCTCATAGGCCAGGACCCAACATACAACACCATGGATGATCCCTTGGGTGGTCACACAACATTCGACAGGACTTTAGTCGTAGAGTGTTGCCGCTTTGACCAAGTGTGCCAGCCATACCTCTCGCGAACCCCTACGACAGGATAGGGGCACGTGAGGTACAACTTACCTCCACCTGCGGGAGCTGTCACCATCCCTTAGGTGGGCGTATCCCCGCCGAGCTACCAGTCCACAATATGAAAGTTTTTACATGCAATCGCAGAGGTGGACCAGCCGAGGGCATTTTCTCGTATGCTGTAGCATAAGGGGTACGCGTGGTTCCACACCTCTATCGGACCCGTACGTAAGCCGACGCGCTGGGAGGCTGAAGTCCCAAGCGCGAGTCATCATCGGTCGACTACGATGCGTCATTTTTACCACGCATTACACCACGCCAAAACAAAAAGTCAGATCACTCACACGAAACAAAACACTCTTAGTCCCTTCAGTATCCAACCCATAACCTTCTGCTACGGAAATCGTTTAGGCATCACGCGCATGACTTAATATAAAACTACACGGATGCAAGGCTTTCTCATATTG